TTTAGATGCTATGTGGAGAATGGACAGTATAGAGGAAGAATGGAGGCAGCAAACCTGCTAAGAGGCCATTGCTATTGTCAGATACAGCGTGATAGTATTTGGATTGGCATAAAATGTGTAGATATGGTGAGAAGTGGTCCATTTGGGAAATATTTTACATGTGTATTTGACAAAGGTATGTTGATGGATGTGGGAAGTGAGAGAAAGAGAGGAGTCAAGGATGAATCCAAGATTTTAACATTAGCCTCTAAATGAACGTCGGTGCCCTGTACAGGCATGAGGAGCACTGTGAGAGGAGTACCTGGTGGGAAGAATGGGGAGTTCAGTTTGTTTGCAAATGTTAAGTTTGAAATGACTATTACACATCCAGGTGTAAAGTGAAGTCAGTATTGGGATGTATGTATTGAGGTCTGGTTGAGGCTAGAATACAAGTGGGAAATCAAGAGTATAGAGGTGGCTATATTTCTTATAACCACAGAAATAAATAGGATCACTGAGGGAGCAAGTGTAGCTAGAGAAGAGAATTGCAGACCGAGTCTCAGAAATTGTATTTTATGCAATTAATGCATTACCATAAGCCATGTTAAAATTGCCACATTTCTTTGGAAAAGCAACACTAAACTAATCTTCTTTGTTTCATGGGTTAATTTAAAAATATAATGATGTGTAGAATTAGGGTACTTGGGTTTTTCTTTAATTAGTCTTCTAAAATAATTTGTATTTTTCAGTGCTTTCTATGGTGCTTTGTGCAGTCTTGCAACCTAATAAATTAATAGATGACTAACTCTCTTTTACTTAATTTTTAATTTCTTTATTAACTAGAAAATATATAGTAAGTTAAATATTACAAAATACATAGTTCTGGATGGCTAAAGAGATGTGGAAAATGCTTAAAGAAACATTCTCAATTTGATTCGGAGATCTACCTATCACAAAGGGTGTATTTCCTATCTATATTCTTAAGCCTCATTTAATGAAAAAGTAGTTTTACCTGGCCATACCAAGCAGTAATTGACACTTCAAAATGCTTTGTCCGAAAGGGATTCTAGTAATTTATTAAACATCTAGTGATCGTTTACTAATGATGCAAGAGGATAGGTAGGAGACGAAGGACCATAGAAACTGGCAAATCAAAGAGATACAGAAATATGTAAGCCATTGACTTTAGAGAGAGACACATAGAGAAGTAATATAAGATGAAGGACTTGAGAATGGAAGGTGGTAACACGAACCGCTAAATGTGTCTAATTATGGAAGTAGCCAACCACAAAGATTTCAAATTGGAACTCTGATATTATGCTTTAGCAAGGAAACCTAAATACCATTTCACTGATGTGGTCCAGATGAAGAGGCTTTTTGATCTGGGAGAAGGAAAGCCAATGAGCATAACCATTTGAAGTCTTATGCCATCAATATACTCAATGCTAGGCAAGAACAAAAGAAAGAAAAATGAGCCAAGTAACAGTTTTCTTAAAATCTATCCCATGATGATGTGAATGGTAATAATAATAACACACGTTAAATTTATGAAGAACCATTAATAAGTAGTCGTATTTGATTACCATTAAAAATCAATGAGGGGCCGGGCGCGGTGGCTCAAGCCTGTAATCCCAGCACTTTGGGAGGCCGAGGCGGGTGGATCACGAGGTCAACAGATTGAGACCATCCTGGTCAACATGGGGAAACCCCGTCTCTACTAAAAATTACAAAAAATTAGCTGGGCATGGTGGCGCGTGCCTGTAATCCCAGCTACTCAGGAGGCTGAGGCAGGAGAATTGCCTGAACCCAGGGAGTGGAGGTTGCGGTGAGCCGAGATTGCGCCATTGCACTCCAGCCTGGGTAACAACAGCGAAACTCCATCTCAAAAAAAAAAAAAAAAAAAAAAAAAAAATCAATGAGGTAGGTTGTATCTAATTGTCTTTAGTATGTCCACTTTGCAGATGAGAAAATGAGGCTTGGAGAGGCTTTGCAATTGCCAAAAGGCACACAATTTTTGAGGGAAGCATGACCAGATCATCTGGTCATCTGGCCCCACACTGCACGCACACTGAAGCAACATAGGGCAGCAGGAGTAAGCACCGCCCTGCGCAGCTCCAGCTCCTGGTGATACGTGTCTAATGTGCTGTCTTGAGCATCTGAGCACACTCTCTTTTTAAGCTTTTCTTTGCAAAATGTTCTCAAGAGAGAGGGCCCTAACAGACTTGAATTTTCTTTAAAGTGGCATTTAAATTGTTCTGAGTGAGAGCTGAACGCAGAGGCATACACCTGTAGTCCCATCTGCTTGGAAGGCAGAGATAGGATGATCACTTGGGCCCAAGAGTTCTGGGCTGTAGTGTGCTATGATTGTGCCTGTGAATAGCCACAGGACTTCAGCCTGGATAACACAGCAAGACTCGGCCTCTTAAAAAATAAAAAGTCCAGAGTGGATTAAAATGGAATTTGATGAATGATTATCATTGATTACTTCAAATAAAATATTTTCTCAAAATCAGGTAAATGTGTTTGATTTAAAAAATGGAATAACTAGCAAAAATCAAGTCCCAAAAGCATGAGAAGGATACCTAAACTTTGAAAGGTCTTTATAAGATTCTTCCTACTTTGTCATTTCCAGAAAACGTTATCAAGAATCAAGACTTGGATATGTGGCTTTCACAGTGCTTTCAATACTCCCCCAAGTAGCCCATTTTCCTTTGAAAATTCCTAGAGTAACCAGTTTTTTCTTCTTAACATGGCTCTGCTTTGCTCCTCATTGCATCTGAGCCGGACATTTTATCAGTTTCTGCTTCTCATGGGAATTAAAGTCAGGCTACCACACACACACAAACCATAGATTGGGTGACAGAGTGAGACTATCTAAAAAAAAAAAGGCAATCTTTTCCTCCTAGAGAAATTAAACTTGAAATTGAATGACAGTTATGAGTCCTTTTATCACATATTACTGAAAGCTATTTTCCTGAGTCATCTGCTATAAACAAACAATACAACGGGCTGTAATGAGAGTCAAGGTTCATCCACCATGAATTGCTACATACATTCTAAATAATATATTTATATATCTGTTTCCCAATTTATCAACTTTTGACTGCATCTATTTGTGCCAAACTATAAAGCATTAGGATTTTAACACACTTATCTCTCAGTTTTATTAGTTACAGTAATAGTTCTTCTAGCCATTACATTTATAACTAAATAATATATTTAGGCCTTTATTTATTCTTTATTTGTCAATTTAGAGCACATCTATTGACTCTTAACTAGATAAGTGAGGAAATTAATGAGCCTACTTTTTTTCATCTCTTTTTCTCTTTCTTTCTTCAGATCCCAATCCTATTAATTATACTATTACTCTTACATGTCTTGTAATTATAATTGTCTTCTTTGCTTTGCCTCTGTAAGTTGATTTTATAAATTGAAAATTAACACCTATGTAATATCACTGTAATATAAATATTATTTTCAGCACAACTAAGTGAAGTGATTGGATCCACAGAGAAGTATATGTCCATATTTGTCATTCAATTTCCATTACTTAAAGAAGAACGTTGATTCCAAGCATCAAGAGCAAGCAGAGTGTATTTTCCTGGCTATACTTGTTAGCTTCCTTATACTAAGCACATTGTTTGGATGATGGCCTTCATTGCATCTATTTATTCTTGGAATTGTTAAATGCCTTTCTTTTCCTTATCAAGATACGGAAAACACAAATAATGTTATATTATAGAGAACTTTCATTTTTGAATTATGCAATTTGTAATAGAATCAGGTTGCTTATTAAAGATATTTTTTACATAGAACTCTCACTAATTTTACACCTTGCTTATTAGGCCTGCTGCACAGTTACTGTCTTTTTGTATTACCCTGTGTTAATCATTGTTCTTCAATTCCATATCTTATAGTTTCAGGACCCCTGGTTTTTTCTTTTTTTTTTTTTAGAAGGCTGGTATGAATTTTCCAACAAAAATGACAGTTTGGCTAGAACTTTAAAGTTGCCTACTAACTAGCTTTACTCATAGTAAAAAGTGCAATAATTTTTGTCCTTTGTTGATAATCTATTTTTTTTCTCTGGGACTTCTTAGAATTTCTCATTGCTCTTGAGTTCTGAAATTTTATACAAATGCATCTAGGATTTCAATTTGCATAATCAATTGTACCTTTAGCTCATCAAATTTTTTCTATCATTTATTTGACTGTACTTCCCATGCATGAGAGAGAATATTACTTCCCTCAAGAGTTGTAGATACTTTGATCTATTCTGAATTGGCATTTGAGGAAGTATTGTCCCATAGTTTCCATTCCTTTGTTATTTAGCTCTGGGATGTTTTTCTCAACTTTATCTTCCAAATCACCCAACTTCATTTTTTAGCCGTTTTCATTCATTATTGAATTATTTAATTCATTTCTTTATCTTTTAGAAATCTTATTTAATTTCTAAAAAATCTCTTACTTCCAGATTACTTCTTTTTTGGAGTGGTCTAATTGTGTTTTAGGGATATAATATCTTCTTGAATATATACTAGGAGACCAATCAGATTTTTAGGTTTTCTTCTGTTCTTTACACTAGCTCCATTTCCCTAGGTCATTTATTCTATTTGTTTATTTTTGATAACCTTAGTTTATGCTATTGGTTAGGTAACTGTCAACATGGATAAATGAGGATTATGCAATTAGCGTAAGTTAATGGTAAGATTTTTGTGGTCATTACTTGATTTAGCAAAGGTCCCTTCCTCTTTCTGGTAAGGCTACTAGGGGGCTGGGCTTCTGACAATCCAGCTTCCCTGTGGAATGTGTAGGAAGGAAATAGGCACATGGCATCAGTTCTCCCAACATTGCTATTGAAAGGGAGAGTTTACTCTGAGGTCAAAATAAAGTAATTTTTTTCTTTCATTCCTGTGGCAGACTGGAGCTGTCTTTTCTTAACAGCCCACGAAGCGACTCACACTTTGGACTGCTGTGTGGGTCTAGAGTTATCTCCAGCGCTGGTTTCTTTTCTCTATTCCCAGTTCTCCAGTAGGGACTCGTCTGGAGGCTGAGGTGGAAGAATCGCTGGAACCCAGCAGGTGGAGTTGCAGTGAGCCGAGATTGCACCACTGCATTCCAGCCAGGTAACAGAACAAGACTCTGTCTCAAAAAAATTGGATGGATGGATGGATGGATGGATGATGGATGGATGGATGGATGGATGGATGGATGGATGGATGGATAGATGGATGGATGGATGGATGGATGGATAGATGGATGGATGGATAGATAGATAGATAGATAGGCAGTTTATAAGTGGCCTAAACAAACACGAGGGAGTCCAGAGGCAGGCTGTCTATAACTGGTGTGCCAGGAACACAAAGTTGTCAGGGACTTGGTTAATTTCTTTGTTGTAAAAATGCAACATGTTAGAAGCCTTGAGCAGCATTTTTCTAAAATAATCCACTATTTGTTGAGGACAGGGCTTATCATTTTATCTCTGCAAAGTATCTGACAAACTTAGGCACTTCATGTATATTTGTTAAATAAATGTATAAATGATGGTAATCTAAAAAAAAAAAAAAGACTTAGATTTAGAAATCAGCTTCCAAGGACTTGTGGAAAATGGAGGAATCACCAGTCCTAGCTCTTTTATAGAAATCTTTTAATATTTAATTGTCCTGAACTATGTACCAAAGCCCACTCCTGATCCTCATGCCTGTCAGCTCCAAGATTGACTCTTTCTGAGGTTTTCTGGGAAGAATGTCTCTCCATCTTATTAGATTGTGATCACTATGAGAGCAGAAATAAACTCTAATTCCCATGGTGTACCCAGAGCCTATGAAAGTGTCTGACATATGATTGGCACTCAATAAATATTTGCTGAATTAATGGATGAACAAGATATGAATTAATGGATATTGATATACTCCTCTTGATATATTTTCATCATTATTTTAATAAACTTTTGAAATGTAGATAGGTGTTCCAATATTTTCAAATTGATGGAATTTTTAATGCATTAAAACCATGACTGGAAATTTTGTGTAAGTTTATGATATAATATTACACAAAAGAAAATGCTTAATTCTATACATGCTATGATTACCTCAGATATTAGTTTGTGTGTGTATGTGTGTGTGTTGTAGGCAGGGAGTTTAATTTGATGTGTTCCATTGCTAGAGACTTGGATTTGTTTTTTTTTTCCTTTTTGTTTCAATTTTTTTGTAATATTACTTGTACAATAATAAAAATATCAAATTAAACTAAATTCCAAAGGAAAGTGATGCCACAATTTTCCTGGGAAATCTAACGTGAAAAAAAAATTCCCTGACAATTAAGAAGGCCATCTAATATCTAATATAAAACCTTCCCTCATCTCTTTCATGTAAGTTTCCCTCCCACTGACTACCCAAACAAACTGTCTGTACCAAATATACCTCACCACTGTTCCCAAAGATTCAATATTATTTGTTTAGACTATCATTATACCCATTCCCTCAAGAAATTTTAAACCAATTTTTCTAGGTATATGCTTAGATCTGGGGATACAAAAATAAATTAGTCTCTGTTTTTAAGGAGATCATAGTGATACTTCACTGAGAATTCAGAAGGATTCTTACAATCTTCTTGGTATATTTGCTAACATTTGGGAAACTTTCTCCAACCCTCACTGTCTTATTTCATAGATATAATTATACATACTGAAAGTCTAATTTTGTAATTGCCAAGGAAAAATAATGTAAAGATAGGAAGGACAGGGAAAGAGAGAAGAACTGAAAAGGCCAAAAAACAGAAATAAAAGCCGTAATAGAATTATCATAATGAATAAAACATACAGGGAAAATTTAGTGACTGTGTGTTTTTCTTGGGCAAATATGATCAACACAGTGAAAACTTTCCATATTACATGAACAGTTTTTCACATTGCAAATTGCATACTCTCATATTGTTTCGATGTTCTTATGGATGTTTCTACCTACTCTGTGGCATCATTCATTTGTTTCTGCATTTTTCTTTATGGCATTATTTTATGGCCATGTAAGTGCTATGTGAGAAAGGTCAATACATTATGTTAAGAGAAAGAGTAAATAGGTGGTTTTTATTGAGAGTTTAAAAACCTTTCTACATCAAAGCTCATAGATTTTATGATATCTATTTTGGCTTCCATGGAAGTATTATCTCTTACTTGATTCAGTTCTATATCAATGAGGTTTCTAGAAAATTAAACTATTGCAATAGATAAGGAATTGATGTACTTTGTATGGAATTTCCATATGGATTTATATCGCTGTAAGCTTAGGTGGCTAAATGGCATCTCTATCCATCCAGTTCCTCATGCCAGAACTCTGGAAGTTGCTCTTGACACCTGCCTTTCTTTTCATCCCTCTATCCTATCCATCACAGATTTCACTGACCTGCTTACAAAATGGATCTTGAAACCCTGAATAGACCAATAACAAGGGCTGAAGTTGAGGCAGCAATTAATTGCCTAACAACCAAAAAAAGCCCAGGTCCAGATGGGTTCACAGCCAAATTCTACCAGACATACAAAGAGGAGCTGGTACCACTCCTCCTGAAACTATTCCAAACAATCCAAAAAGAGGGAATCCTTCCCAAATCATTTTATGAAACCAACATCATCCTGAGACCAAAACCTGGCAGAGACTCAGCAGGAAAAGAAAACTTCAGGCCAATATCCATGATGAACGTAGGTGCAAAAATCTTCAATAAAATACTGGCACACTGATTGCAACAGCACGTCAAAAAGCTTATCCATCATGATCAGATAGGCTTTATCCTGGGGATGCAAGGCTGGTTCAAGTCTATAAATGTAAGTCTATAAACATAATCCACCACATAAACAGAACCAAAGACAAAAACCACAGGATTATCTCAATTGATGCAGAGAAGGGCTTCGACAAAAGAAACAGTCATTAGAGTGAATAGGCAACCAACAGAATGGGAAGCATTCCCTTTGAAACCCGGCACTAGACAAGGATGGCCTCTCTCACCACTCCTATTCAATATAGTATTGGAAGTTCTAGCCAGAGCAATCAGGCAAGAAAAAGAAATAAAGGGTATTCAATTAGGAAAGGAGGAAGTCAAATAGTCTCTATTTGCAGATGACATGGTTGTATATTTAGAAGACCCCCATCGTCTCAGCCCAAAATCTCCTGAAACTGATAAGCAACTTCAGCAAAGTTTCAGGATACAAAATCAATGTGCAGAAATCACAAGCATTCCTATACACCAATAACAGACTTAAAGAGAACCAAATCAAAAACGAACTGCCATTCACAATTGCTACAAAGAGAATAAAATACCCAGGAATACAACTTACAGAGGATGTAAAGGACCTCTTCAAGGAGAACTACGAACCACTGCTCAAGGAAATAAGAGAGGACATAAACAAATGGAAAAACATTCCATGCTCATGGTTAGGAAGAATCAATATTGTTAAAATGGCCATACTGCTGACAGTAATTTACAGAATCAATGCTATCCCCATCAAGCTACTTATGACCCTCTTCATAGAACTGGAAAAAAACCACTCAAACTTCATATGGAACCAAAAGAGAGCCTGCATAGCCAAGACAATTCTAAGCAAAAAGAACAATCATGCCTATTTTGTTTGCTATCATTTGGCAGTGACTAGAACAATGCTTAGGTTAGAGTCGTTGCTCAAAAAAAAAGTGGTGAGTAAATGAATGATGGTCCTTGTCTTGGCAGATGTGGCAATGGTCTGGCTTCAGGTATTGGTCAGCTCAGTGCCACAGCAGCTTCCCTGGATGGCATTCTCTCAAATTATTCTGGATATTTATCCAGTCATAGATGTGGTCATTCTGGCCACAAAAGTGCTTTTATATTTGTTTTCTGAAATTAGAAAGGAGTTCATGGCTCCTGAAACAAACTGGGGAAGTAAAACTCACTATTTCAGAATAAAGAATAAAGAAAAATTACCCAATCCAACAAATGTCTAATGCCTGTGCTTGTCTTTTAATTCATAAGGCAGCATGCATGGGTAATATATAATAACCATTTATCAGTGTGCTAATAGTGTTTGAATTCTATTAGGTGACATGATGAGGAAGCTCAAGATGGATGGAGTTGTTATATACTTGGTGTCTTGAATGTGCCTGCCAGAGCCTTTAAAGTCAGTTTAGTGGCCTATTAATGTGTCCATTATGAACCCAATTTCTTACCTTAGTCATTTTAAATTTCATCTGTCTATAACTTAGTATATGTTATTAGCGTAAATTCAAACATTTTATACCAACCATAATTCTTAGTTGTTAAACTGGTTTTGACTTATTGGAGCTACATTAAAACCTAATAGGTGGAATAATTGGCTCCCATAACAATTCGGAATTAAGAGAAGTCCATGTTGAGTGCTATTTCCAGATACCTGAAAAGCTATGAACAAGTCCCCTTTGCCCTCTACTGCGTCTCCTTACCCCTGCTGATTCCACACTTCCCCAGTTTCTAAGCCAGTCATAACTGCATCCAAATAGGAGCCATTAGAGCAGGCATGCCTCCAGGGAAACACTTTCAAGGGTTTCATAGGGGAGCATTTCCCCAGCAGCAGCCAGTGTCTACCCCCGAAGGACCAAAATGGATAAGATTTAGATGTTCTTGCTTCAGGGGGATGAGCTTGAGGCCATTCTCAGGGAGAAAAGTGAATGCCAAGTCCTCTCAGCACTCAGTGGCCTTATACCATTCCAAGTCCTTCTTTACATTTTAACAGGATACAGGAGAATCTACCTTCCCATCAATTTGCATGCCTTTCTCCTCTCTGTCTCTTAGTAGCACTCTGAGCTTCACCTACTGTATGAAAAATTCAGCTTTCTCCATACAGAATGGACTCCTAGGTACAGGTCTCTTTTAATCTTGCAGCCAAGAGTCAGCCAGGCCAATGTGCATCTAACTGCTACATGCTCAGATATCTGTGTTCCTGGCTCTTGAATTTGTTTATCCTCCTTACCTACCTGCGAAGTCTCTTGTGCATGCTGTATGTCTTTGAGTGCTTCTCCCCTCTCTGAGAGAAGCAAAGCCTTCTGGGGTGCAATAAAATTGCTTTAGGAAGGCAAGAAACAGATGGAATATAAATGGGTTCAGGTGCTCCAGGGACCTCAATGCTGCT